CCTCTGTAAATTTTTACTAAAATTAATAATAAATTGAAGAGATATTTTATAGCTGATTAGTAATATAAAATTAAAGGATCAGCTTGGGGAAGATATTTTACTAGCTTTAATTACCTTCATAAAGAATTACGATTTTACAGAGCAAAACGGATGTAGCTGTGATTGTTCCCCCTTTTCTCATTTTTGACAGTAAAAATCGCTACTTTAAGATCATGTGTACTTGGGGCCATCTGGTGATACTATATCATTGAGTTCCTTTGTTGCCATAGATCGTTACTTACTCCATGATGGTAAGAATTTATTGCTCAAACTCACATCAGTGGGAGTAAGAGATGTGATCTTCAGGCCTGTGGTCACCACTGGGCATCTTTTAAGCCCCTTTATAATAATCCAGCTTGCTTCTCACTTACAGGTTCCACGTGCTCAGACCTCTCGGCCGGAATCTCCAGGGATGACCAGCCCCTCCCCGCGCATCCAGATAATCTCCACCGATTCTGCAGTACCCTCTCCTCAGCGCATTCAGGTATACTTACACTGCTCTCATTTGATTTTGACTACCTTCCTACAGAAAACCTAACTTTTCCAAACCTAACCTACTTAGGAGTTTCACTAAGGATATATACCTCTCGGACATTAAGTACAGAGCAACCTCATTCCCTCTAATTTTTAAAAATGGAAATTACATTCATTTAACTAAATTACTTTTAAAGAAAAAGTTGAAACTATAAAAGTTTGGAATGAAAAAGTATTTTACTATTATCTAGTAGTTCAGAAGGAAACTCTAGTGGCCTAGTTCATAGAGAGTTGCACTGTTAACCCAGAGGCCATCCATCTCTGGTGGTTCATATACACACCCCCAGTTCTGGGGGAGAAAAATGGACATGCTTCTCCCCTGCAGTGGTTTACAACTGCAGAAACCCTACCTCCCCAGCAGAAGCCCTTTTTTACATATTTTCAATGCCATATAAATATATATATTTTTAATGGGAATAATAGCACTACTTATATAATGAGAGTTGTGGCTTTTAAAGTGCTTTAGAATATTAAAAATAAATTTGAAAAGTACTTAGAATAGTGATAATCAGTATGTATTCTGTGTTAGTTCATGTTAATTGTTGATGAATAGACTCTAATTAGTTTTATTGTGTGTACCACTGAGTTGGAACCAACCCATAGCTGACAGTCCAGTGAGTTTTCAGAGGGAGTTTAATCTCACGGAGCAGCTGGTAGATTCGTACTGCTTACTTTGCTTTGGCAGCCTCTTTACCACTAACAATAACTAGTATTACTTGATTATTTAGTCATTTGTCATTCATGAGAAGTTTAGTCTTTCCTAGAGTCCTAAGCCTGTCCCTGTAACCGACCTCTGTTTTAGTTCTGTGCTGTCAGATCTATATTTTTAGACCTTATATAAAATTGTTTAAATTTGAGTGTAAAAAATTTGTGTTTATATGACCTTATGGTGATGAAAGAAGAAGTTCAATGGCGCTGGCTGAAAATCGCCTGTGACTTCATGCATAGCCACTGGTGAGAGTCAGCGCCCAGAGCCATCAGGGGCTTTAAGCTCGTTGCCCA